TGATGGCATGTTACCCAGTTGTGTGCAGCTGGTAAATTACCATTGCAGGAAGAAGACGGGGTGTATTTCTGCTGCCAGGTAAGCAGAAATTTAGTAGTCCAGACTAGTCATCTACATGTTCTGCATGCAGAATTCCCGTTTTCCTGGGCATTTTGAGCACAACAGCAGGATGAGGCTTACAGTAAGTTTCCCCCGATGTCATTCCCACGTAGATTGGCTCTCAGCTCTCTGCTGCTCCTGAATTTGGAAACTTTGGGGTTTTTTTTCAGCTGCTGTTTTTGCATTCTGTTTTCCCTTCTGTGACGCTCATCCATGAGCTTAATTGTCTGCCTTTCATTGCCAAGTCTGGGAACCCCTGAAGCTCCCTGGAGAAGGAAAGCTCTGCCCAGTAGTTTTAAAAAGATGAGGCATTACTGAGGGTTTTTCCTGGACAATGACTGCAGTAAATGTCTTGTTTGGAAACGTGGCTTTGGGTTCTTCCTGCTCCTTAAAGAGATTGAGAATTGGGTAAAACCTCCCTAGGAAAGGGACCTCCCTCTCCTCTCCCCACCACGACTGCTTGATTTCCACATGTCTTATGGGTTGAGCCCGCAAGAAACCCAGAAGGAGCAAGGATGCTGCCTCTGTAATGAGATGTATTAGCAGCATCTTGCTTCTGCAGAAGGTCAGTGGTGGGTTTGGAAGTCCATGAGAGGTTGTGGCTGGGAATTGCTCCTCAGTAGTCTTTCTCAAGTGGTTCTTGTTCTCAGACATGCCATGTGCTGCTTGAGATGTGCATCAACATCATGGGTTTAGATGAAACAAAACACCTTGCAGGTGCAAGGCATCTTTTTAGGCTAAAATGGCTGCTTTTAGGAGAAAGGAAAGAAAGAAGTTGGACTGTTTCTCACCAAGGGGACACGGAGATTCACACCTCACTGTGCTTTGCTGGCTGATACAGGAGGCTGAGCCTGGACAGCCTGCTTAGCTCAGTGATGCCCGTAAAGCCACTTCTGCTACCTCATGTGCAGCATTTAGGTGCCAAAATACTGTGTTTGAAAACTGGAGGTAAGGATGGGGTTGGTTGAATGTGAAGAACCACCAGGTGTAGGGGTGGGAAAGAGGAACAGGTTTGAAGTATAAATACTGCATGGTGTTTCAAATGAGTAGTCTCTAAAACAGTGGGTCTTTTGGTCTGTTCTGGGTGCTTTTTTTGGTTTATTTCTATTTGTCTGTTTTCTGCTTTTGGGATTTTTTTACCCAGAGTTAAAAAATAGAGCACAGAGTGAGTGACATTATCTGAAGATCTGATAAATTGAATAGTCTTAGATAGGGTCAGATGTGATGAGCAGTGCGGTCTAAGCTAAAACTGCCACCAAAAGGAAGAAAGACTTCCCATTGTAGGGAGAATATAATACATGAGTGATGAAAAGGTCTAGGGAGGTGGTGGAGAAATGCACTCGAGAGGAAAGGGTGAAGTTGTGCCCCAGAAAAACGTGGATAGTGCCAAGAGAGATGTTCTTGGGAGCAGTTGTTTTTCATTGGAGTAGCTTAGAGTTCCTAATTCCTGGAAGAGCCAAGAAAGGCTTGAGAAAAGAAATACAGGGAACAGTGTGCTGGGAAGGAGATGATTTTGGTCAAATTGTCAGGTCTCTAGGCCATAAATTTTAGGGAAACTGTGAAAATGTGAATATGGTTTTTTGTTTTTGGGGAGTGGTTTCCAAGGTCACTGCTGTTCCTTTTCTTCTGCTACAGTTGAAGCCGTTTGTTGGGCTGGACCAAGGAGGACCTGGTATCCAAAACCACCTAAGCACACACTGTGAGGCTCAATGTGGAGAGGAGGGTTTATAGTGAATCCTTTGTGTGGTAGCTCCAGCCCAGCTCAGGTCACTCCTGCTTCTTGTGTCTGTGGAAAACGTATTTTTCCTCTGAAAGTGTAAGCCAAAATAGTTTGATTTTCAGAGAACATTATGGTGTTGGTTCAGATGCTTCATCTTCCTCAAAGGCATCAGTGAAACAGGGGTAGAAGCCTGGCTTGTGGTTTGCCCTCAGTGGCGAAGGAGCTGTGCAAGGTTAATGAGTAGCTTCACCTTCAGATCTCAGTGATGCTCCCAGAGGCCGAGTTGCTCTCATGGTCAGGATGGAGGTGATGAGGAGGGTTTTGTGCCACTTGCGTAGGTTTTGAGAGGTGAGGCACAGCATGATTTAATACGTATCTGAAGTGTGGCCACATCAGTGGCAAGGTGGGAATGGGACAAGCTGTTCTGTTGTGGCTCTCCTGTGGCATCCCCAAAATGGAGAGGAAGTGGGTGACAGCAGCATCCTGAGAAGCACCAGCTCCCAGGGCTGGAAGAGGAGCTCCATGGGAGCTCAGAACTCCATGGTTTATGTCTTCTGAAGGGGGCTAAGTCCTTAGCTTGATAAAAACCTGTAATAATCCTCCCTGTTCTGGGTCTGACTTGTAGGTCACCGATTTCTGGCTCATGGGCCATGGGAACAGGTTTTGGGAGCATTAAGAAGACATCTGAAGATAGGCTGAGAAAGTTGGGGCTGTTCAGCCTGGAGAAGAGAAGGCTGCATGGAGACCTCATAGCAGCCTTCCAGTGTCTGAAGGGGGCCTGTAGGGATGCTGGGGATGGGCCATTCTTAGGGACTGTAGTGACAGGACAAGGGGTAACGGGTTCAAACTAAAACAGGGGAAATTTAAATTGGATCTAAGGAGGAAATTGTTTCCTGTGAGGATGCTAAGGCACTGGAATGGGTTGCCCAGGGAGGTTGTGAATGCTCCATCCCTGGTGGTGTTCAAGGCCAGGTTGGACGAGGCCTTGGGTGCCATGGTTTAGTGTGAGGTGTCCCTGCCCATGGCAGGGGGGGGTGGAACTGGATGATCTTAAGGTCCTTTCCAACCCTAACTATTCTATGATTCTGTGAAATGCTGGTTCCCAAATAGTTTGTGCTTCTGAAAAGCTTTCTTCAAGTTCAGATTATTTGTAGGCTCAAACTTGATTGCAGGAAAAGGCTTGGATTTACACCCATTCAGATTTGTCCCTTGCCAAGGGGATTTGGACCATGGATGGTTGGATGTATGTGCCCAGCATGTGTCAGGAGCTCCTCATCCAACACATCCTCATACTCGGTTACAATAAAAAGGGGAATTCAGAGACAAAATCCACACCATAAATCCGCCAAATCCTCGCAATGCATGTGCATGGTGGCAAGAAGGTGTTTTGATGCATTATAGCTCCTTTGGGAAGGGCAGCACTGGTGGGAATGCTGAGATTTCCCTTAAGCCTTGAGCTCCGTCTTGTAGAAGTCAAGGAGCAAGTCAGGCCACAGCTCCTCAAGGGTTCATTGCAGACATTTCATAAGCATCTTAAGGCAGCCCGGTTGTGTAATGCCATGGTAGCTGCTAGATCTTTAAATTAGCACCAGGTTTGCCTTTCAATTCCTTTATTTTTTGTAGCAGGGAAGGCTGACGCCCGGTGCCTCGCTCAGGTGATATTTGTTGTTGTGTGTTGTTTGTTCTCTGCCTTCAGAATGAGATCTTTTGTTTTACTGTCTCGGAGCAGTTCAAAGCAAGACCCTGTCCCTTCTCTGAAGTGTTTAGAACCCAATTTCAGACATAAAACACCACGGGTGTGGAGGAGGGAGGAACAGGCAGGGATGAAACGACAAGGTTTTCCATAGCCTAGGGGACCGGGGCGGTAGGCGGACATCTGAAAGCTTCAGCACGTCGATGGCATTTGAGGATCCTCATGGGTTTGCTGCCTGGGTGGTGATGCTCAGATGTAGCCTGGCTTGGTAAAACAACCACCTACAGATGGAGCTCCTGCAGGAGCAGCTCAGGTCCCTGCTGCAGCGCCCAGCATGGGTGGTGATGCCCGTGGAGGGCAGAAGCTCAGGAATCTGTTTTATTTTTCCCAGCTATATAGACTGGACTCAGAAATTGCTTTAAGGTGAAGGATGCTGTGCTCTGGGGAGACCCCCCCTGCAGCCCTGATCCAGCTCTGGGGCAGCAGCACAAGAGGGACGTGGAGCTGTTGGAGCGAGGCCAGAGGAGGCCATGGAGATGCTGCGAGGGCTGGAGCAGCTCTGCTCTGGAGCCAGGCTGAGAGAGCTGGGCTGGGGCAGCCTGGACAAGAGAAGGCTCCTGAAGGGGAGACCTGAGAGCAGCTCCAGTGCCTGAAGGGGCTGCAGGAAAGCTGGAGAGGGGCTTGGGACAAGGGCCTGGAGGGCCAGGCCAAGGGGAATGGCTTGAACCTGCCAGAGGGGAGACTGAGATGAGCTCTTAGGCAGAAGCTCTTCCCTGTGAGGGTGCTGAGGCGCTGGCACAGGGTGCCCAGAGAAGCTGTGGCTGCCCCATCCCTGGCAGTGTTCAAGGCCAGGTTGGACCCAGGGGCTTGGAGCAAGCTGCTCTAGTGGAAGGGGTCCCTGCCTGTGGCAGGGGCTGGAAGTGGTGGAGCTTTAAGGTCCCTTCCAACCCATACCAAAGCTCTCAATGATTCTGTGATTCTACGACTCTCTGACACATGCAAACACATTTTGCTGAAATTCCCCAACGTTTGTGGCTTTGCATCATTCTGCACCCATGAATCAGTGGAACAATTTCTGGCACTGTTTGTGCCCTGCTGCTTTTTGCTCACACTAGAAATTGGTTGTTTCAGTGCCCCAGGGTTAAGTAACTCTGACATTTGTCTGTGTCATGGTCCGGCAAAGAAGCTGGTTGCGCATCTCTATACACCACATCTGCACAGTGATACTGGAGAAGAGGTATAGAAGAGTTCATCAGATACTATTATACTTGAACAGCTGTATTTTGGATTAGTGTTTTCAGTAGAAGTCTTTATCTTCTGGTATCTGGGTGGCATTTTGCAGGAGCGTTGTGCAGATACATTGGAGGAGTATGAGATTTGCGTCTGAAGCACAGCGTATCGCAAGTCAGCAGTAGATCCAGTACATCACAAGTTTGTAGTTAATGCAAACCATTGTAACAACTTCAGTGAATCATTCCTGTTTTCCAGGGTGCCCGAGAAACCTTTGAGAGCTACTACAGGAAACAGAGAAGAAAACAAGCCAGATTGGTCCTGCAGCCTCCTTCGAACATGGTACGATGCTCTCCTACTCACAGCGCCCAAACTTGCTGTGCCGAGCAGCAGAGCAGAGCGTTAGCTATCTCTGGGTGTGCTGTTGCTGGTGGGATGGTCTCTAATTCATTTCCAGTTGCTCTTGGCCATCTTTGGTTTAATCTTTGCTCGCTTCTTCTTTGTTGCAGCACGAAACGTTAGACGGCTACAGGAAGTATTTTAATCAAATTGTAGGGTAGGTGTTCTTTTTATACCTGTCCTTGCTAAATACGTGTGTGCTGTGTTGTTGAGGAGCCCAAAAAGAAGGAGAGGAGGGAATGTTGATGTCCTTCAGGGCCTTTAAACAGAGCCAAAACCAGGGTGGGGAAAGACAGTTTGGGCTTTTAGAGTGTATTTTATAGCACCCATGAGCTTTGCTGTGTCACCAGTGGGAGCGTGGAGGAACCTGCCAGCTCTTGTACCAGCGAGGTCATTGCTGGGGATTTGAGGCTAAATAACCTCTGTGGACTATGTGCATCTACTTGCCCCACTAATGAGGTGAATGGGCCTCTGCCTTAATTATTCTTTCATATTGGATAATTATTCTTTGATTATTTTCCTGGTAAAGGAAGGTGATTCTCAAACCTCTGGTCCTATGAGCTTCTTCGTGTTGTGCTCAGATTTGACCAGAGTCTTGAAAAGCAGCTGAGCTGTCAGAGGAGGCGACCTAAGTCCATTAATCTAGCAGAGATAGGGGATGATGTTGAAATATCTTCAGCTAACACTAATAATTTCAACATCTGATTACACCCATCACAAGTGCAATGTGTGCTCCTCACCCAGCTCCATGCTTCTGGGCTGAATTTCCCCATCAAAACCCAGCTTGGAGATCTTATCCATTGCTGTTTAAAATGTCCAGTGCCACGCTCACTCCCTGGAAAATCCAGTTTCTTTTTGGCCAGGCTGTTTGATAACTGGAGATTGGAGTGAACTGACTGCCTTGAAATAGTCGTGAGCCTGTGGGGTATCCTGCTGCGAGAGGGTATTTTCCGTACGCTTAAAGTCGTTTTCCCTGTGGATAGAGCATTCTTCCCTGCAGTTAACCACTTGTAATGTGCTTGCTGCTGACTGGAGCAGGGTTTAATCAGTGGTTCTTGTTGAAATAACGGGGTGGGGAACTTAGAAAGGGGAAATTCTGCCTTTGTATACACACAGTGGCATTACAAGGAGCAACTGTGGTGTGGGTCACTTATATAATACAGTGATAAACATCATAAAATCAAACATCGTAAAACCAAACATCATAAAATGTTGGGATGTTAAAAATAGGTGGATAAAGTGTTTAGCATTAACCATATTAAATGCACTTACTGCAAATCTGAGCTTGCTCTGGGGATTTGTGGATGTGCAAACGCTGTATATCCCTCGCCTCCAGCGTTTGAACATCTCTTTGGATGTCTCCGAACCTGGGACTTCTGATAACAGTGCCATTTTCTCCTCCCTGCTAGGTTTTTTGTAGTTGAAGATCACATCTTGCATACAACGCAGGGCTTGGTAAATAGAGCCTATATTGATGAGCTGTGGGAGATGGCGTTATCAAAAACTATTGCAGCTCTAAGAACACATTCAGTAAGTAAAAGCCTCGGGTGGCTCAGCTGTTGCTTGAGTATGACTTGACATGCTGGACATACTGGCTTTTACAGTGGGATTCTTTGTTGTGCCTCTTTTCCAAAGATCCTGTTTAAAATAACAGTGTGAAGAACGCTGCTGTTTCATAGAATCCCAGCCTGGTTTGTGGTCAAGGGACCTTAAAGCTCCTCCAGCTCCAACCCCTGCCACGGGCAGGGACCCCTTCCACTAGAGCAGCTTGCTCCAAGCCCCTGTGTCCAACCTGGCCTTGAACACTGCCAGGGATGGGGCAGCCACAGCTTCTCTGGGCACCCTGTGCCAGCGCCTCAGCACCCTCCCAGGGAAGAGCTTCTGCCTGAGAGCTCATCTCAATCTCCCCTCTGGCAGGTTCAAGCCATTCCCCTTGGCCTGGCCCTACATCCCTTGTCCCAAGCTCCTCTCCAGCTTTCCTGCAGCCCCTTCAGGCACTGGAGCTGCTCTCAGGTCTCCCCTTCAGGAGCCTTCTCTTGTCCAGGCTGCCCCAGCCCAGCTCTCTCAGCCTGGCTCCAGAGCAGAGCTGCTCCAGCCCTCGCAGCATCTCCATGGCCTCCTCTGGCCTCGCTCCAACAGCTCCACGTCCCTCTTGTGCTGCTGCCCCAGAGCTGGATCAGGGCTGCAGGGGGGGTCTCCCCAGAGCACAGCAGAGGGGCAGGATCCCCTCCCTGAGCTGCTGCTCTCACTCTGGGGGTGCAGCCCAGCACACGGGGAGGTTCTGGGCTCAAGTGCTCACTGAAGCTGGGTCATGGGGAGCTTTCCCCTTGTCTCTGTCCTTTTTTGCCTCTCGATGCTCTGCATTTCCCTGCACCAAACTCTCAATGTTTTGGGTGACTGGAAAGAAAGAAGGCAGTGCTTTGATTTTTTTCCTGTTCTTTGGCTGATCACTTTTGGGAAGCACCAGCAGAGGGAGTCGGATTGTGCTGGAAAACTGGGGGAAAAAAGTCTCTATTTGGCTCACTGAAGTACAACTCTTAAAGTTCATGGCAGCGAATGGGCTGCTATCAAATCCTTTGTGTGTCAAAGACAATAAATAGACTTTATATGTTCTAATACTGAAAGAAGTTTGGGAAGATTGCTGATCACTTTGATATTTCTCTGCTTGAGCAAAACTTCCAAAGCCAGTTGCAACAACGACACAGTTTTTTGCCCCATTTTGTATGAGCTGAGGTAATGTTGCACTGGTTCAGCTGGGAGCACTGGGATTTCCTGAAAACCCTATTGGTTAATGGGATGAAAAAATTCCAAATGACCATAAAAGCAAAAGCATTCATGACTGTGCACAAGTCCACTTTCAAATTGTCAGGCCATGTTGTCCAGGAAAAGGAAAGTAATAAATCCCTGAGATCCCACTGCTGCTCGGGGATGGCAGTGCCATCTGATAGCGAAAGGATGCTGCAGAGTTGTGTTGGTGCAGATCTGCGCCTGCTGTGGTGCAGCATGCGCGTGGTGGTACCCAAGTGATAAAGATGTCATAAAATCATACACTGGTTTGGGGTGGAAGGGACCATGAAGCTCCTCCAGCTCCAACCCCTGCCATGGGCAGGGACTTCTTCCACTAGAGCAGCTTGCTCCAAGCCCCTGTGTCCAGCCTGGCCTTGAACACTGCCAGGGATGGGGCAGCCACAGCTTCTCTGGGCACCCTGTGCCAGCGCCTCAGCACCCTCACAGGGAAGAGCTTCTGCCTAAGAGCTCAGCTCAGTCTCCCCTCTGGCAGAGCTGGATCAGGATTGCAGGGAGGGCTCTCCCCAGAGCACAGCAGAGGGGGAGAATCCCCTCCCTTGCCCCGTATGCAGCCCAGGAGGGTGTCCCTCTGTGTGGAGACACAAAATGCTGCTTGCTCCAAACCCCACTGAGTTTTGCATTTAGGTGCCCATGACTTTATCTTGGTCACCTTCTGGAAGTGTTGCTGGCGAGCTGCTTGTCTTTCCCTGCTGCACAGGTAGGGGTTGTCCGGGTTACAGACCAGGTTGTTGGGATGAGGGACCACAGGGGCTTCCCAGGGTGCTCCGGCTCCATCCAGCACAGCAGTTGTGCTGACTGGAAAGCTGCCTCATAGAGTCATAGAATCGTTAGGGTTGGAAAGGACCTTAAGATCATCCAGGTGCACCCCCCCTGCCAGGGGCAGGGACACCTCACACTAAACCATGGCACCCAAGGCTCTGTCCAACCTGGCCTTAAACACTGCCAGGGATGGAGCATTCACAGCTTCCCTGGGCAACCCATTCCAGTGCCTCACCACCCTTACAGGAAAGAATTTCCTCCTTATATCCAATCTAAACCTCCCCTGTTTCAGTTTGAACCCATCACCCCTTGTCCTGTCACTGCAGTCCCTAATGAAGAGTCCCTCCCCAGCATCCCTATAGCCCCCCTTCCGATACTGGAAGGCTGCTAAGAGGTCTCCTTCCATTTAAGCTTCTCTGTTACAAAAGGGGATAAACACAGTGATGTACACCCTGCTAGGTTCTAAACCTGTGTTTATTTTCTTTTTAAGTGGGGTTTTCTGCAAGGTGAGAGTCACGAGAACAAGCCAGCTCCAAACACGGTGGTTTTCAGTCTTGCCAGCTTTGTTGCCGTGACAAGTTGTTTTAAGTGATGCCAAACCTAATGCATGAAATGGCTGCCAGGAGAGGGGGTTTTCAGTAATCATGAAATCATAGAATGGTTTGGATTGGAAGGGACCTTAAAGGTCATCCAGTTCCAACCCCCTGCCACGGGCAGGGATTGTTGCAGTATCATGGTCATCACTTTTATCTCTAAGCGCTGCTCCTGCATAGGGCAGTGCCGTTGAGACTTGAGGGAAGGCTCTCACACTGGTCAGCCTGCTTCAGTTCTTCCCATTCAGCCAAACATATCCCTGGCTTTTCTCCCCTCCTGCAGCCAGGGACATCTTTTATCACTTCTGATAGCTTTAGGGTGTTATCTTTCTTTCTGACTTTCTTTTTTGGACAGTGAGGTGGAAAATGTGTCTCTTCTGCTCTTTCACGTTGATTAATGGAGTCATTCCTCCTCGACTTTCCATGAGCTTTAAATCTGTTTCTCTTTCCAGCTTATGATCCCTGATTCTATATTTGGTTAGACTTAGTCTGAAACCTTACGTATTTCAGCATAGAGAGGATGTCTGCTGTGTCCAGAGAGCCCACGAAGCCTGTGGGTAACATGGGGTGGCTTTGGGAGGACGATGAGCGCTATTGCTACACCGGGTTGTATCTTTAGGGCTTTGAGGAGTGTCCTGGCCCGCAGTAAATACTTGTGTTGTAGCTCTGAGCATTAGTATCTCGGAAATACAGGCAGACAGAGTGGTTTTCCTCAGCCTGAACCACTTAGCATTGAAGCCTTCACATGGGGCTTGGGGATGCCTTGCTGCGATGCTTCATTGCCACCAGACACAACACAGTAAATATTAAATGAGAGGCGCTGCTGGCGTCCTGGTATGACAGCGTGCTGATTTGCTTCATCTCCTCTCGCTTCCCCAGCAGCTCCTGGGTAATCTTAGAGACACTTCAGGTATCTCTAGAGCAACCCCAATCCTTATTCATCCTGGAGAGCCTCAAGAGCGGTGTGTTATGAGGAGAGATACCCTTATCAGCATGCCTTCCCTTGCCCTGTGCAGCCTTAGGGCATGGGCTGGAGGATAAAAGCTGCTGATCATAAGACTGCATGGCCTCTGGGTTTATCATCACTGCAGTGATAATACAGGAGGGCTGAGGGCAATATTTTTCCTGCAGTTCAAACCGTGTTGTTATTTCTCCCCTTCTTTGCAGTCCTACTGCTCGGACCCGAGCCTGGTGTTAGACTTGAAGAACCTCATCGTCCTCTTTGCAGATACTCTGCAGGTACGTGGCTGTTGGTAACCACTCTTGGTCTTGCTCAGTGTTGTGCCGATCATAGATGGTGCAGTCAGAGGGGTTCAGTGCCTGATGAGGGCTTGCTGTGGTGGCCTGGCTTCTTTCTTGACATTGTGGTGCCTGATGGACAGCCTGGTTCTCCCTGCACAGGAGGTGGCCAGCCCATAGGCAAGGACCAAGCCTTGACCACCTTGCTAAGTCCTGGTGCCTCTTGCCCCCACACAGACCCATAACCCTTGGTGCTACCACCTCGCCTAAATCCCTTCTGCAGCACCATTCATCTCTGTGGTGGTGGTAGGGGAGAATTTCTCTCTATTGAACAGAGAAACTAATATTCAACTGCCTGCTTGTGACTTTTCTTACATGAAGTTGCTCTCTTGCATGACCCACTGCAGGGATACGGCTTCCCAGTGAACCAGCTCTTTGACATGCTGTTAGAGATCCAAGACCAGTATAGTGAAACCCTGCTGAAGAAATGGTCAGGAGTTTTCAGGTAAGAAGCTCTTTAAGGAAACTCACAAAGATGTAACTTCCAGAGCGGTTTTGACTCATAAATAAAGGAGAGATGAGCAACCTGACCAGCAGGTCGAAGGAGGTGATCCTGCCCCTCTACTCTGCTCTTGTGAGCCCTCACTTGGAGCATTGTGTGCAGTTCTGGTGTCCTCAACATAAAAAGGACATGGAACTGTTGGAACAAGTCCAGAGGAGGCCACGAGGATGCTCAGGGGCTGGAGCACCTCCTGTATGAAGACAGGCTGAGGAAGTTGGGGCTGTTCAGCCTGGAGAAGAGAAGCTGCGTGGAGACCTCATAGCAGCCTTGCAGTGTCTGAAGGGGGACTATAGGGATGCTGGGGAGGGACTCTTCACTGGGGACTATAGTGATAGGACAAGGGGTAACGGGTTCAAACTGAAACAGGGGAAGTTTAGATTGGATCTAAGGAGGAAATTCTTTCCTGTGAGGGTGGTGAGGCACTGGAATGGGTTGCCCAGGGAGGCTGTGAATGCTCCATCCCTGGCAGTGTTCAAGGCCAGGTTGGACAGAGCCTTGGGTGCCATGGTTTAGTGTGAGGTGTCCCTGCCCATAGCAGGGGGTTGGAACTGGGTGATCTTAAGGTCCCTTCCAACCCTAACCATTCTATGATTCTATGAACCTGCTCTAGTGGAAGGGGTCCCTGCCTGTGGCAGGGGTTGGAACTGGAGGAGCTTTAAGGTCCCTTCCAACCCAAACCATTTGATGGTATGATTTGATTAGTAGCAAGCTCATGCTTAAATTTTGGGGCCTGGGCTCTCCTTGGACCAGGGGGAGATAATTTAAAGACAGTTGTGAGGATCCTGTGTGTGGTGAGATCTGTGCAATAACTCGGTGTAGACCAGAGGTTTTACATCCCAGAGGGATAAGGACAGTCAATAGATGGAAGGATGCAAAAAGCTGGTGTTGCAGCAGCATTTCTGTGCCCTCACTGCAGCACTGAGCTGTGTGTGTCCTGGGACATTGGTGGCATATCCCTGTGCTGCTGGTGTGGGCATGTCCATGAGCTGAGCATTTGCCCAGTGGTAGGATATCATCTATTTATTATCCAGGATCCCATGCTGTGCTCTGCAGCCACCAGCTCATCCTGTGCTGGTCCTCTAGGACCTCCCAGGAGGATTAAGGCATCTCAGAGCATGGAGCATTGGGAGGAGGTGCTAGAAGGTTGTTAAAGGACTGGTAGCTCAGCATCCACGTGTCTTGATTCAGGCAGGACTGAAGCTCACCTGGGTTTTATCAGGGGCTGCTGCTGAAGCTCCAGTCTGGAGTAAAATCACCATTAAGCTCTGGTTATGGCTTTACACAGGCTGAAGACAGCAAAGTAGGAGCTGTCAATGAGTTTGGCTGCAGCAAAGATGATTTCAACAGTCACAAACACGGGGGGAAGCTTAGACTCAGGGGATTGCGTCTTACACTGGGACCTGCTTCTTCAGAGCTTCCCAGCTGAGCAGTAAACCTGCAGAGCTGTGGCCGGTCTGTCGTCACAGGGCTGCCTTTGTAACTTTTCTTTTCTTCCCTTAGAAATATACTTGATTCAGATAACTACAGCCCCATCCCAGTGACGAATGAAGAAGTTTATAAGAAAATAGTTGGACAGTTCCCGTTCCAGGATGCAGAACTTGAAAAGGTAACCTTGAAACGGGGAACGTGGTACGGTGGGGCCGCGGGTGCAGGAAAACCCCTCACTCTTGTAGCTGGCATTGGGACCTGCGAACGAAAGCATCCCAAAATCCCCAACCAAACCCAAAACCTCAAGCTCCAAACCAAATAAACAAGAAAAAAAAGCCCTAACAAGGGAAAAGAACAACACACTTTCTAGATGATGTATTTCTGGTGCTGGTGAGGGAAGTGCGTACAGTGATACCTCGTTGATTTTGTTTTCGGCTCACAGTGTGCTATTACAGCTGCAGTGGACAAGAAACTGGAAATATCTGCTTCCATTGGTATTTTATTCCCAGTTTAGGAGCTGTTGTTGGTCTTTGGTTGCTTTACTCTTATAGTAAAAAAAAAAAAAGGCCAACAAAATGGTATATCTTGGCTTTTGTAGCAGCGTGTGCTTGCAAAACCTAAGTCTCGCCAGATCTGACCTAGCCAGTGTCCCTTAAAAGCCTGCTTGGCCTTCTGCTGCACATCTGGCAGCCAGCGAGCTCCAAGCCTGGTGAACTTCATTAGGACTGGGAGGCTTTTTGATCCAAGTCAGGTATTTAGATTTCAGGAGGTCTGTGTCCTTCCCCCAGAGCTATATCAGGGGCTCCAGCTTCTCACTATTCCGCTCCGCGCCTCCCGGCCCTGTGAGTAAAAGCTGGTTGGAAAAGGCTTTGTGTAGAACATCTGTTTCCTCTTGGCTTTTGGTGGTGTAAGCAAGTGCTCACCTTAGGCAGCAAGCGTGGGAGGTGACCAAGCCAAACACCGCGTGCACGGTGGGAGATAGAAGTCAATTTGTTCTCCGATGGGGATTTTTCATACGAGTTAGGAGAAGGAAGGAGGGTCCTGGTGGGCTGCCTGCTCCCTCCTAGCTGCAAGTCTCCTTCCAGCCCTGTTTTAGCCTCCAAATCCCTTCTGCACCCATGTGCCGTTTGTAAGTGATTATCTGGTCTTTCACTTGGCTGAAATGTTTATGTAATATACAATAAATGCTGGCTTGTTGTTTCATGGCTGGACTTAGCTAAACACTAGAATTGATTTGTTGCTTGGAACACATTGCTGGAAAGCACTCGTCACTCCTGTTCAGTGTCTGCGCCTCGACTTGAATCCTCTCCTGTCTTTTACAGCAGCCGTTTCCAAAGAAGTTCCCCTTTTCTGAGTTTGTGCCTAAAGTTTACAGTCAGATTAAGGAATTCATCTACGCCTGCCTCAAGTTTTCGGAAGACCTTCACCTGAGGTAGGAGATGAGTGTGGTAGGGGTTGGAATACAGAGGTTTTGCCTGCACTGGAGCATCCCTGGCAGTGTTCAAGGCCAGGTTGAAAGGAGCAACCTGGTTTAGTGGAAGGGTTGGAACTGGATGAGCTTTAAGGTCCTTTCCAACCCAAACCAGTCTGGGATTTTGTGATCTCAAAAGGTCTAAAATATGAATTCTTTCCCTCAACCCTTCATGCTGCTTTATTTGGACACCTTGTCCAGGCTGGAGGGGCTGGTGGTCTCCTTGCAGTGGTACATGTACCCTTCATGTACAAAGGGATGGCCAAGACTTCAAAAATAGCTGCCTCATGTAGGGAAAGATAGCCCAGGACTACGCTGTAACTGTTCCTGATTGAGTTGTACTAAATAGATGAATCTGTTATCTTAAGAAAGCTAGTGATGTCCCCTTGTCATTGGGTCAGTGCCTGGTCTAACATCTGCAACTCCCTGGATGTCCCTTAAGAAGCCCATGGCCAGGAAAAGCCCTTGAGGTTTTCATTCACCCTGCTTTAGGGGCTTTGCTTTTCTTGTTTCCCGTGGGAGTTTCTATGCAAATAACCTGATTATTTATTCTTTTCCTGAAAGCTTACAAAATATTCCTTGTTTTTACCCTCCTTCCTCCATCCCAAGTTGCCGTGATGCTGGTTTTGCCTGTGTGTTTGTGTGTGAGATTGGAAAACAGCTATATGTGCCAGCAGCTGCAAGCTGGTGCTTTCTTTTTGCACCCAGTGGTGTCTGCAACTTGGTAGAGATACATAAATACAGATAAATAAATAAAGGTGTATGTGTGTATATATATATATATAAAGGTATATATAAAAGTATGTATAAAGGTATATAAATAAAGGGATATAAATGAGTAACAAGCTTTTTACTGGCAGGAGGGATCCTTCTTCCCTTCTGTTCACAGCACTGTACTAGTGAGAGGTTGGACTGTGGCTGGCATTTATCTTCCTTGCCAGCTTCATGCCCTCACTATGGCCTGACACTGGGCATTGCCCCAGTGTATTGTGAAGGCAGGGCAGTGTTGTGGGGACTGGCCTCCACAGGGCTCTTCAGGGTTTGAATTCTCATCCTCTGTGCGAGGGGTAGGAATATGGGGAGGCATTTTCTCTCCATCTTCTGCTGGAGGCCGCGGTCGCTCACTGGTTGATGTGGAAGCCCAGGAGGTTTCTCCCCCCGCCCCATTTCATCTCAGCCTTTCACCAGTGGCAGGTTGTTCTCTTTGGTGGCTCCCAGGGCTCTTAACCCGGGGGTCACCATGAAACATCTCGGTTTCTCAAGCCGACAGCACGGTCCTGTTTCACACGGATGCTGGTTTCACCCAGCCCCTCCGTTGGCACTTCCCTCGTGAGCTCTGTGCTCTTCACCATTACGGAGATGATTGGGTTTGTCAGGGAAGGGAAGGAAAATGTCCCCTTGGGTCCCTCCTCGGGGTCCCCTTGGATATGTTATTAAAATTCCTTTCGACATTGGATTTTCCAGCCCTTTTTGAGGGCAGCGTTGCGCTGGGGGAAGGGAGCCCAGCTCTTGGCTTTTCTAGGCAAACATTTGGAATATTTCTCCGCAAACCCCTGTTGACACTTTCTTCATTTCACCCTGACAGCTTGAATTAGTTTTTATTAGGAAGCTTGGCTACAAAGCCGGCAGCAAGTTTTCTTTCTCTTCTCTTTCTTTTTCTTCTTTGGTTGTCATTTACCTTGCACCCTGGAGTGATTGGGGTCAGCCTGTCAGTCATGGAGGGCCTGAAGGTCATGACTACTGCTATGGGATACGGGACATCAGCTGTCACTAACCCAGGCAGTTCCTTTAAATACTCTGCAGTCTTTTCCTGCAGAGCAGAGCCTATGGCAGAAAATGCAGCTTGTGTTTTATTCTCTTTCTCTAATTGCTTCTTTTAAACCAGCTCCTTGTATTTGTTGGACGGGAACGTTCTCCTTTATGTTGATCTGCTTGCGAAAGTTGCTTTGCTTATTGAGGAAAATTTGGAGCTTGGTGTGCAGTTATAGGGGCTGCACGTTTTCTGACTCCATTAATTTGATTAGGAGAAGGGAAACCTGTATATTTTCATCAGTTTTGCCTTTGTTAAGAAGCGTGGACTCAAATTCATCAAGGAGATGCCTTTTAAAAGTATCCGCTCACTGGAAGACTTCCAAACTTCCACGGCAGTGACGTTTCCCATTTGAAAGACAGGGAATATCTTTGGAAAACAGTGGGGGGAAGGATGAGATGCCAGCTTGAATATATCAGGACTTTGGTTGGTCGGTCTGGGGGATTTGTTCAAACAAAGCACCAGTCCTGGAAGAACTTGGGAAAGAACGTAATGTAAGTGCATAAAGTTATCAAAAATAAAATGGAATTAAAAGATCACAGGCTTGAATAACTACAGCAAGTAGTTACTGGTTTGGAAGTATTGATTTGGAAATCAGCTGTAGGAGACAGGAGGTAAATGTAGTTTCTTTGGTGTAGTTGGTGGTACTGCTTTGGTGTTAGTAGTGCTCTGTGGTTAGAGACTATGTGCGTAGGCTCAATAACAACCACACCACTACCAGCTCCTACCAGTTTGAAGCTGACGGATCAAATTGGCATCAAACATACACCGTGAGCAGCCCAAATGGACTGTATTTGTGGGTTTTGTTTTCTTCTTGATGCGTACGGAGAATGGAGGTCGGACCTGGCTCGTGAACCAAGGCTCAGCTCATACTCAGGAGTCAGCATCAGACACCTTACTGGTACCATCACCCTTTGCTAAGTGGCCCTGGTGGTCTGGGCACTGCATCCTGTACTCCTTAGAATCATAGAATAGGTAGGGTTGGAAAGGACCTTTAAGATCACCCAGTTCCACCCCCCCTGCCATGGGCAGGGACACCTCACACTAAACCACGGCACCCAAGGCTCTGTCCAACCTGGCCTTGAACACTGCCAGGGATGGAGCATTCGGAACCTCCCTGGGCAACCCATTCCAGTGCCTCAGCACCCTTACAGTAAAGAACTTCTTCCTTATATCCAATCTAAACTTCCCCTGTTTAAGTTTGAACCCATTACCCCTTGTCCTGTCACTACAGTCCCTAATGAAGAGTCCCTCCCCACCATCCCTATAGGCCCCCTTCAGATACTGGAAGCTGCTCTGAGGTCTCCACACAGCCTTCTCTTCTCCAGGCTCTTCAAGCTGCTTCTTGGTTCATAGTTTCAGCTGTGAGGGTGCTGGGCAAGGTAGGGGCTAACACCCATTGCCCCTGTGGCCACCCTGACTCACTGGGTCATGGAGAGCTTCTCCTCTGAAAGCTCAGTCTGAAGTGCTTTGGAGAAGTAAAAGCAGCCATCAGCACTGGCTGTGGTGTCGGGCAGAGGCAGCATCCTGCTCCTGCCAAGAGTGTGACTGTCTTGGAGCGTACACGCAGCCAGGCAGTAACTGGCTTGTTTAATTTTGATGCCCTGATGACAGGGTGATGTTTGAATGACAAAGAGCAAGCTCTTCCAGCACTACCTGTGTGGCTGCTGCGTTGGTTCAGTGGGAAAACTCACGTCATGTCCACAGTCCCATGGTTTTCATCTCTGCTTTCTTGGTTTCAGTCGATGCTGGAAGCTCCAGCTGCCAGCTCTGCTTCCAGTCTTGGCCGTTCTGCATCCCCACCTTCCTTGGGGACAGGCTGTGGATTGCATTCCAGGATTTCCCAGGGATAATCCCAAAAGGGGCATGGTGCTTGTACAACGATACAGCTTTGTGTGTAATTTCCTGCCTGTACAGCTATTTCTTGACCCCCTTTGAGTGTGGGTCCAGCCCTTTTTGCTCCTCAGCTCCATTCACCAAGTCCCATGCATTACCCCCTGTATCACCCCTTTGCTTTGAATCTCCTTGAGTGTCTTTTTTACCATCTGTGGATCATCACAGGGTTAGATTTTATGGGACTTGCTATATATAACCATGCTGTTGTCTGGTGGAGGGGACTGGGAACAATCTGGTTCTTCCTGGGGGGTGATGGAGGGCAGGGGGGTGCATACACATTGGGTTTCTTTTGGTGTTTTCTTTAAGTAAAACCTTGTTTGAGAGCCCTACCCATAGCATAAAGACCAGGAAAATTCATTGGCTGGTTTCTTCTTCCCTCCCATTTTTGTTCATGTTCTATACATTAGAAAAACCCAAACACATCACCTTGGGCCGCACATCAAAACCCTGCGAGAAGGAACCATCTGGGACATGAAGTGAGCTAGCCTGGGTTATTGCTGGCACAGGATGTGCTTCCCTGCTAAGCAGGAGGGAAATAAACTCAGAGGCATCAGGAGTGGTGATCTAGAAGAGATCCCCACTAAGACTTTGGCTGATGAGATTGAATTTGAGTTATCAGGAACCTGGGTCCTGCTAACCTACTGGCCCTGCTCCACTTGCATCCAACTGGGAAGGAGAACGGTGGTCAACCCTTGGCAGGCTTGTAGCTCACAAAAGCAGACTTCTAAACAGCAGGGAGAAGGAAGTATTAGAAGAACCTGTTGGGGAGCAGAGTGTGGGGAGCTGCTGTGTGCATGGGGAGTTGTGCAGCTGGGTTTTCCTTGGGAAAGCTGCAGCAAGACACGGATTTCTTGGTCTGGCAGAAGTACAGGCATGACTTTGCTCCGAGATGTGAGCGGGGAGCAATATTTGCTGCTTCTCCTGGGAGTTTTGGGGATTTGAGTGCAATCCTCATGCAGCAGAACAAAGAACTTCAAAAGTTGGGTTGATTGAAGGCTGGGCAGCGCGTGGGGAGGATGAGCGTGTCCAGAAGGCTGCTATGGCCGCAGTTATTGCAGTTGGAGAAGGTTTAGTCTTCTTTACCCAAAGGTCCAAGGCTTGGCACAGTGCATCTGCTCTAGGGTTAAATAGGCACAGAAATCTGGAGGGTCGAGCTGGACCAGGGCTGGCAGCACCCATCCCTGCAACCAACAGGCACCCCAGTACCAGCACCCACTACCCTCTGCCCTTCACACTGGTAGGGGGGGGAGCTGCAAGTTTTGCTTTTGTTTCTCATGTCAATCCCTGCTTTGTAATTTGGGCCATTTGTCAGGTAAAACAGGAGAAAGGAGTAAAAGGTCACGGGATTGATTTACCACGAGCCTGAAAGTTAATAACACTGCTCAGCCTTCCAGTTGGGAATTTTCTTTGCCCTCAGCTGCCTGTCACTGCGCTGCTGGAGATAAAGCCCCGTGGTGTCAGGGCTAATGCAGGGCCAATGACAGATCAAAGGAGCCTGTGCTGGGATGGGTTTCCAAAGCCTCCTTCGGTAAGGAGAGGTGGCACCTTGCTGATGCGCACGTGGAGGAGCAGCAGAAAGCCAAACCCCTAAAGTTCAGCAGTGTTGTGGTTGCAGCCAGCTGGCAAAGAGCATCAGTGTGTTGCTAGAGCTTCCAGTGTGATTTGTCATCGAATCCCAGACTGGTTTGAGTTGGAAGAGACCTTAAAGCTCCTCCAGCTCCAACCCCTGCCCCAGGCAGGGACCCCTTCCACTAGAGCAGCTTGCTCCAAGCCCCTGTGTCCAACCTGGCCTTGAACACTGCCAGGGATGGGGCAGCCACAGCTTCTCTGGGCACCCTGTGCCAGCGCCTCAGCACCCTCCCAGGGAAGAGCTTCTGCCTAAGAGCTCATCTCAGTCTCCCCTGGGGCAGGTTCAAGCCGTTCCCCTTGGCCTGGCCCTACATCCCTTGTCCCAAGCCCCTCTCCAGCTTTCCTGCAGCCCCTTTAGGCACTGGAGCTGCTCTAAGGTCTCCCTGGAGCCTTCTTTTACTTAAAATGCTGTGAGAAGGTAATGGGGGGGTGGGTGCATTTTGAGGGGGTTAATTTCCTTTTTCCCCCCACTTACATCTTTCATCCCTTTCCCCTTGTGTACCGAATGTGCAGACCTCCACCATTGTATGCTGGGTGGTGGCTTGGCTGTGTGGGTTAATGCTGATTCTACAGGCAAGCTGTGCTGGACCAGTCCCTTTAAGGGGCTGAGTGATGTAGATTTAGCTCATTTTAGCCCCTCTTCCTTATGGAACCATAGACAAAAAGACCCGAAGTGTTGACGTTTTGGTATATATTAGTATGTCAGTGCATGCAAGCATCGTGAGTAAGGCCGAAGAGGGTTGGGAAGGCGATTGGGTGATGAGGGCTCAAGAGTTTCTCCGTTCACGGAGCATTTTGCAAACCTCTTTGAATTCCACTTTCCAGCTCCACGGAAGTCGATGACATGATCAGAAAATCCACAAACCTGCTGCTGACCCGAACCCTGAGCAACTGTTTGCAGAACGTCATCAAGAGGAAGAACGTTGGGCTGACGGAGGTAGGACCTGGCTTTGAGGTGGGCCGGGTGTCAGAAAGGGGGTTCGGTCCTCAGGACTCCTTACAGCACCTTTAGAGGTGCTGCTGTGGAGCCTTCTGCTGCAGTATTTGGTTGGGAGGCAACAGTGGAACCACACAGCGTTGCTGTGCAAAGCAAGAGCACTTTGTATTGTGGGAAAGCTGTGCTGTTGCTGTTGGCATTACCCATCTTCTAAATTAATGGGTCATTATCCATGTGAATTAAAGTCAGAGGACATCAAGGAGCGCGCGGGAAGAGCCAAGTGGGAAGTGGGACAGGTCCCCACCTATAGGTGATGTTTGGAGGCAGATTCAGCACGTTGCTGCAGTGCAAACTCTGTATTGGTATTTTCTTTTCACAACTGATACTTTTTTGTGTGCAAAGTCAGGTTTCTGCAAGGCTTACTGCATGTAAGTCCTGGCTGTTGGGGAATGTGTGTGGTACCCAGGGTGGTTTAATACCTTAGTGGGACCTCTGTGTGCTGTTATTAAACAAGTAGATGTTAATACAGCTGCAATTGTTTAATGGACTGTGCTGTAGAAATGTGTCCTGCTCTCTGGACACTAAATACCCTGTGGAGGTGAGCTTAGGAGAGTTCAGTGCATTTACAGTGGTATGTATTTACACGTGATGCTTCCTCAGCCCTTTATCTCACTCTCTGGAATCTCTCTGCTCCCCGGGGGCAAATTCCTCTTCCCTCCTGCTCCTCCCAGGGCTCCCTCCACAGAGGAATGCAACATTATCCCTGCATGTCCATCCCCCAGATGATCCTTTTAACTGCTGTTGCAGTGTGATTGAATGTAGGAAGGGCAAACCAAGTGCCACAGTCCCCTTGCAGCTTCTGCCCAGTTTAGATGGTGTCGATGGCATCTTCCGTGATGAGGGAAGGTGATGCCTTTCTTTGGGCTGAGAGTGGCTTCTTCAGGTGCTTTAGAGCTGAAGAGGATTTTTGCTAGGAAAGCTTATGTAGCATGACCCAAGTTTCAAGTAAAAGGTTTAATATGGCTGGTGGTCAATCTCTGGATGTCATATTTTCATCTTCTTATTCCTTACCACTTGCCAAGGTACCGCCAGCTCTCTCCTGGGGTTGCCTGTGCCACCATTGTATTTCTAATTTGGTTGAAGGAAACCCACTTGGGGCATCTTCATCCCCTCCTGCCTCTTTTCTTTGTGCAGCCATTGACCTGTTTGTCCATAGGGAAGCACATGGTGGTGCTCTTCTGAGTTGCTCAGATCTTCTCCTCTTAAGACGTTGGTGTGACTGTGGAGCACAGGAATTAAATCCCAGGTTGTATGAGCATAGTCCTGGTGTCAGAAGTGGTTGCAGAAGATATTTAAGTGCCTTTTGACTGTCACTTCCCAGATTTAGTTTCTGTACAAAGCAACACCATCCATATCTGAGTTTTCCAGTGTGGTTTTCCAAGCAGTGGACAAGGTAATACAAGGCTGTGCACTGGCCTTCCTGGTCTGTTGTCCCCTGAATTAGTTTTCATTGCTGTTTTTTGTGGGCTAACTCTTAGATGTGGAGGTTGAAGTTTGCTACCAAGTTTGTTACCAAGTCTGCTCCAAGTGACCCTGGTGTTTCGAATAACCCTGACATCTCTCAACAAAAAAGAGGGAAAAGATGCTCCTGTTTTAATCACTTGAATACCCCAATGAGAAGGTCTTGCCCAAATGAATTCAAGAGAAGATCACAACTTGAAGGAGGCAGAGAGTTATCAGGAAAGCCCATAGCAAGTGGTGGAAGAGAATCAGAGCAATCAGGGCCTTCAAACGTGATAGCGATCTGGACAACTAAATTGTGATGATCAATGAAGAGATTTAGGAGAGATTTCACACAGTTGGAAATACCCAGTATTTAATTAGCTTTATAGGAGAGCATATCGTGGTCACCATGTCAGAGCTATCTGACACAGGGAAACGCTTGTTTGAAGGCAAAAACTGAGAACAAAACTAATCCAAGGAATTCAGAAATGAGAAGCCCTCTCAGCTATCTGTGTAATACATTTAATGGAACAAGTACAAAACAAGAGGAGTTCAAATAGATCATAATTTCATTTATTAATGACAAAATCTGATGGAAATCAAAGAAATGTTAGCTGGAAGGGACCTCTGGAGGTATCTAGCTTGGTATGGAAGTGGGGTCATTGCTCACTTGAAGCATGTCAGCTGTGGCTTTTCCTACCCAGCTTTTAATGCTTCCCATACAGAGGTCCCACAGCTTCTAAGGACACCCTCTTCCAGTTCTGCACTCCCTTTGTAATGACTCTTTTCCTTCCTAGTATCCAAGCTGAACCTCCCAGACCGTCACCATTGCCTTTCTCATGCCATCTGGCACATGCAAGAGTTGGGTGCTGTAACCTGTGTGGCGTTGCTTCAGTATTTCTGTGCCTGCAGCACTCGAATTGCTGGTTAATCCATCTCATTCAGAGCGTTTGTGAGCGTTTCAAAACCCTTTCTGTAGAGAGGTGTCTGCAGCCTGCCACCCTGTACTTCAGCAATCAGATTATAGCAATCTGGAGCATTATAATGCTTTCAGTGTCTGTAAGAGAACTGTTTTGGCCGGGATAGCTGAGCTAGGTGTTGTGTAGAAAGGCTTTGTTAGAGCTGATGTTGCACCTTGAAAACATTCACAGGAGCCTGCTTGGGAGAAAGGTATCTGCTTAAGGGATGAATGGTGCTTCCAAGTGAGCGGTCCTCAAGTGGAAGCCCGGATTGGTTTGCTCTGGATTGTAAATGCCTGGTGACATCTGCCTGTAAATGTTGACTGACTTCAGCAGAGGTTTTTACACTGTAGTTACCTTTAATGGCCTGAAATAGCGCCATGGGAAGGCAGACGAGATGACAGCAGTAAGGAAATGGCAACTAAGGGTGGGTATGATAACTGAGAAGACACCAGGGTGAGACCTGATGCTCACCCTCCCCAAAGGAAAACCTAGTTGTTTCTTTGTTAAATGCCTCGCTATGAGCTTGGTTGGTGTCACTCAAGATACAGGTTACTTGGGGTTCAGCAGCAGCTGGAACACTTGTGATTTGACATGGCATTAAGTTTCTGATGTTCTTAAAGGAGGAAAGCTTTTGAGCATGTGGAAAAGCTTAGTGTATTTGTACAGCAGCAGCTTTTCGTGCCAGAAGGAGGTTGTGAATGCTCCATCCCTGGCAGTGTTCAAGGCCAGGTTGGACGAGGCCTTGGGTGCCATGGTTTAGTGTGAGGTGTCCCTGCCCATGGCAGGGGGGTTGGAACTGGGTGATCTTAAAGGTCCTTTCCAACCCTAACTGTTCTATGATTTCATATTGGCATCCATCAAGCTGGCACGTCTATATTGGCGTCAGGAGCACAACGATTGAGCATCTCTTTTGCCTTTGCAGCTTGTACAGATTATTATAAATACGACCCATTTGGAGAAATCCTGCAAGTTCCTAGAGGAATTCATAACCAATATCACTAATGTGCTTCCAGAAACTGTCCACACCACGAAACTCTACGGGACCACAACCTTCAAGGTGAGAAGGCTTGGTAGATCCACCCTGAGAGCTGATGTTTGGTTGGAGAGTATCTGCTTGCAGAGCACGTGTGGGGATGAGTGGATGTAGGGAGCTAAGCTGAGCTGAGAGGTAGTTTTGTCATATCCTGGGCAGCTGGTGCCACCAGATTAGGTTTTGGGTTTGGTCTTTGGAGCATCACGGGGATGCTGGAGGAGGGACTCTTCATCATGGGCTGTAGTGATAGGACAAGGGGTCATGGGTTTAAACCTAAATAGGGAAGATTTAGGGAGTATGTAAGGCAGAAGCTCTTCCCTGGGAGGGTGCTGAGGCACTGGCACAGGGTGCCCAGAGAAGCTGTGGCTGTCCCATCCCTGGCAGTGTTCAAGGCCAGGTTGGACACAGGGGCTTGGAGCAAGCTGCTCCAGTGGAAGGGGTCCCTGCCTGGGGCAGGGGTTGGAGCTGGAGGAGCTTTAAGGTCCCTTCCAACCCAAACCACACTGTGATTCTGTTCTGTGATTCTATAATTGAGTCAACTGGGGGGTGTTCGGGTTGTGTCTTGTGGAGAGCAGGAGACGGGAACAGTGCTGAGGATTTGAGTAACAATAGGGAACAAGTTAGGTGGGGTTTGCCCTTAGGATAACTCAGCAGTGACTAAGGCCCCATGTCTCCAGGGAAGTCCATTCTGTTTTCTTTTGGCATCACCTAACTATTTGGCCTAAGGATAAGTTTTCCTATTCTTATTCAGGCAGGCTGTCCTGTACTGCAAACCTACCCAGAATTTGGTGGGTCTCAGCCTGTTTTCATATGAGACATTCCTTCTCCATCTGTCTCTTTCATCCGCACTAGATGTGTCCTCCTGGTCCCTGGGTTGGATCAGAGGCACACCAGCTTGATCTTGCCTCCCACTAACCTGGTCTCAGCTAACCTGAGGCTGTAGTGGCCATGTAGGTACCTACAGATGCTCTGTGTTGTGCTGCCTTTGGAGACTGGGCCGATGTCCTGTTGCGTGTGGAGGCTTGTTGTTACTGAGACTCCGTTCCATGGAGTGTTGTCTTGTTGCCCAGGACGCCCGCCATGCTGCTGAGGAGGAGATTTACACCAACCTGAACCAGAAGATAGACCAGTTCTTGCAGCTGGCAGACTACGATTGGATGGCCATGGAGCCGGGCAGCAAGGCCAGCGACTACCTTATAGACCTCATTGGCTTTCTACGCAGCACGTTTGCGGTGTTCACCCACCTCCCGGTAAGTCACCTCCACCAGTTTGCTTTCATTTTACAGCTGAGGGACATCTGATGGTGCTGTTGAAACTCGTGGTTGCTCAAGCTCTATGGAGTGGGATGAAAATGGGGCCTTGGACCGTCAGGTGTTGTGAAATAACAAGTTATAGGAGGGTAGACTGAGGTGAGCTCTTAGGCAGAAGCTCTTCCCTGGGAGGGTGCTGAGGCGCTGGCACAGGGTGCCCAGAGAAGCTGTGGCTGCCCCATCCCTGGCAGTGTTCAAGGCCAGGTTGGACACAGGGGCTTGGAGCAAGCTGCTCTAGTGGAAGGGGTCCCTGCCCGTGGCAGGGGTTGGAGCTGGAGGAGCTTTAAGGTCCTTTCCAACCCAAACCAGTCTATGATCCTGTGAAACCTATGTGTTACCAGAAGCTGGTCTTCAGTGGGAGTCTCTCCAGGTATTTTCAAGTCTGCTTACACAGTCCACCATGTAGAAGAAGGACCATAATTCACCAGCCACCTCTATCTTAGATACGTTAACTCAGATTAATGGATGTTCAAGATCCTTTTCAAGACATGCCAGTGTATGGGTGTCTATTACTTGAATTGCAGATACACTTCCAAATGTTTGTCAGGTCACTGGATGCCTTACATCAGAATGTTGCTCTTTGGAAAGCAGCATATGTTTCTTTCTTTTCTCTGCTGTCTAAAATAGGCCTGTGTTTATGCTGTTATTGCGATCAGAAATGTATTTTATGTTGCTTTATTGCACTTGGCTGAGGAGTGTCCCATTGAATAGGAAAAAAATATAACCATCAGGGAGTTCCATTTTTTGCTCAAAGAGCTTTTTTTCCCCCTTTTAAATAGGATTTGTTGGGAGCTGTCTGGATATATACTTCCAGAGTATCTTCAGTTGTCAGGTATTTTGTAACAGCAAATCCACTGAACACTATATTTGTCCTAAAAGCAACTTCAGATCTTTCTTCCTTCCTTGACTGTTATTTATTTGGTGTTACTGGGTGCCCAGGGCTATAGTGCACCAGCACGCACTGGGCATCTCTCATGAGCTTGGATATAAACAGGAAAGAAGACTAGTAATACACAATGGTGGTTTTCTTCACTGCATTCTGATGGTTTATACCACTGTGATTGCTCTACTGGAAGGATGTTCCAGCTCTTCAGAGCAGTTTTAGGAGGTGTTACAGCCCCAGAGCTGTGCAGCCCTCTGTATAGCTCATGTTTTTATCATGGTTTGAGCTGGAAGGGACCTTAAAGCTCCTCCAGCTCCAACCCCTGCCACGGGCAGGGACCCCTTCCACTAGAGCAGCTTGCTCCAAGCCCCTGTGTCCAACCTGGCCTTGAACACTGCCAGGGATGGGGCAGCCACAGCTTCTCTGGGCACCCTGTGCCAGCGCCTCTCCCAGGGAAGAGCTTCTGCCTAAGAGCTCATCTCAGTCTCCCCTCGGGCAGGTTCAAGCCATTCACCCTGGTCCTGTCTCTCCATGTCTCATATGGCTGCCTCTGTCAGGAAGATTTGGTAGCAATATGGAAATGAGGATTTGTTTGCTATGGATGAAGAAGCCACCAAGAGAGAAATGAAAGGGTTTTCCTGGTGCTCTACAGCCAGAGTTGGTGAGGGGAAGGTGCTTATTTGGCTCTGGTGTCACTAGAACAAACTGCTAAATAAAATGCAGCTCCTGTGCAGGGAGGTTGGAAGGGCTTTCATCCATCTTCTTGCTCAGGACAGGTTTATTGCCAAAATGTCCCTTCTGTTGGCAGCCCTGAGCAGTGTGGCTGGTGCCCTCTGGATCAGGAGGTGCTTGGAAATGGCTGGATTCTTCAACTGCTGGATTTCTCCTTAAGAAAGGAGGTGTAGCTCCATTCTACAATTAGATGTCCATTCTACAATTAGATGTCCATTCTACAAGTAGGTGTAGACCAAGTCTAGAAACCATACTAGGACTACTCATGCAATCAAGTAATGGAATTTGACAGGGAGATTGGTCTCTGCACCAGAGCATGAAGCATGGCTAGCAGGAGAGATGAGGATGGGGAGAGATGCCCACAGTGATTTATGAGATGGACCTGGAGCGATTTATCTTCCTTAAGTATTAATGTGTCCTTTCTGAGTGAGTCAGGATTGTTTTGGAGGCTGGGAGGACAGCTGATTGGTCTGAAAAGAACCAAGACAGATTGAAGCAGCCTTTTTTCTTCCAGAACTGGATTAGGAAGGACCCAGCCCAGGGGAAGGCTGTTTGTATTTGCGGTGGAGCACCTTATCTTCAAAGCATTGTAGGACACTGATCCTCCTGATAGCCTCAGGAGATAGGGGAGGCAAGTCAATCAGGTGCTGCAATCTGGTTTGTGAAGCTGTAGATCTGGTGCAATGGTTTGTAGGAGATGTAGGTCTGGGGGTTTTATGTGTATTTGAGTTTCCTCCTTTAAGGAGTGCTCTGAAGATGCTGTCACTGAACATTGCTGATGGGTCCCTGCGTACCCTTGCAGGCAGTGGTGTGTGAGAGCGAGTCAGGAAGAATCAGGCTGCATCTAAAAGGTGCTCAACTCCTTTGGTGTCTCTGCTGGTTTGTTCTTGTAGGGGTCAAGGGCCTTTTTCCAGTGGCTTGATAGAAACAGATTAAAATGTCTGCACTTGGCTAAACGAGGTAGGAGATAAGGTGTGGAGAAGCCCATGTCTAGAGCAATACAGGAAAATGATGATGTTTGTGAAAGCACCAAAACTGCTGGATGAGCTTTATTGGTGAAAGGAAAGAGTGAAAGGGGTTCATGAGGGAAAGGAACTATCTCCAGAAATGGTGATATCTATAAGAGGATGTTGCTGGATTGCTGGTAGTGCTATTCCTATACTGCTGGTTCAGATCTGGCCCAAATCATTAGCTCTGTAGCCTTATGATCCAAAAGAAGATGCTGCCCTGTTTAAAATGAGATTGCAGCCTGGTCCAGCTATAAAATGTAGAATTTCCAGACTGCCAGTAGCTCAGAAAGGAAAGCAAGTAACTGTGCACCGTCCTTGGATGGGGAATCCTTGGAGCATCTTCTCATTACTGGAGGTGGACTCAGCGCAACACCATATGCCTTTCTGTTCTCATGTCCTTTGCTGGCTTGGGAATTCCCTGTCTTCCAGAGGTGATAACTGGGTACGTTTGTGTTGAATTTGCACAATTTTAAGAGTGAAAAGCGTTCTCCTAGTGTTGGAACTTGTTTTTTAGAGGCAGAGTGGCAGGCTCAGGAGATGACTAAGTGGCAGGAGCCAAGCTACTCACCTGCCTTTTGTCACAGCAGCAATTACACCAAGAAAAAACCTTCACCTGGTGATCAAAGAAACTCGGCCCGGGCTTGTCTGCTGTTGCTGTGCTAAAATTACACCAACAAAAAGTGCTGTCCTGTAATAGGATGGAGCTGAAAGTCCTGAGCCTGCAAAAATGCAGGCGGCTGCTTAACATGAAGGGTGTGAGTAATCCCATTGTCTCGGATGGGGCTCCTTGTCTGCAGGAAACTTTTCTGGGGTCAAGGCTCCAGCTTGCTGCAAGGCAGGTCAGATGGCCTTGAGAGGTCCGGTTGACTCAAGTCAGTGTTTTGGAGAGGGGGTGAAGAGGAGCAGAGATGCTGAGCGAGCTGAAAGGTGACTCTGAGCCAAGATTTGGGCATTAGGTTTTGTGTTTCCCTTTTTGGATACAGGAGGTGGAATTTGACCTGTATTTACTGGGGGGAATCCCAGAACGGTTGAAGTTTGGAAAGGACCTTTGGAAGCCATAGGATCCTAGCATGGTTTGGGTTGGAAGGGACTTTTAAAGGTGAGCTAGTCCAGTCTACACTGCCATGAGTAGCATGTCTGTTCCACTAGAACAGATTGCTCCAAGCCCTGTCCAACCAGACACTGAGCACAGCCAAAGATAGGGCATCTACCAGCCCTCTGAGCAGCGGGGTCAACTGGTCCGACCCATGGAAGAATAACCCAGCACAAAGCTAGTCCTGGCTGGTGGAGTGCCATGGTCTCCACTTTCTGTAGTGTTCAAGCAGGAATTGCAATCCCTATTTTTTCCTTTAGAGCATCAGAGTAGACATTGTGGGAGCTGGTGGAAACCACTCGATATTAGGAATCCCTGGAATCAAGTTGCTTTTTGCAGCTTTGCCTTGGGTTGTTGAGCCCCCATCTGTGAAGGGCATGCTGGTGGGTACGGCGTGTGCCTGTGGGGGGCAAGGAGAAGTTCATGGTGAAGTTAATGGGGTTTTGGTGCATGCCACTGCTGCATGGAATTTTCATGGTGGTTTAGAGCCACAGTTTGAAAATGCTCCACAAAGTGCCCCAAATGTCCCCAAAGACATAAAACGCTGGTGGGAATCAAAGCATAATGAGCATTTGGCTTCGAGGCTGCCCTCTTCCTGCATTAACCAGGGAGGGTTGGTTACTGCTGCCGCTGATCTTATTAATAAGGGATGCTCGGGCCTCCTTTAAAAGAAAATACTTTTTATTTTTTAAAGGAAAAAAATACTTTAGGGAGAAAAAAAAAAGTATTTTAGGAAAAAAAAAAAGGTGGTTTCTGCTTTTCAGCAAGTAAAGGGCCTCCAAAAATGAACATTTCCAGCGTAATACTTTTAGAAGAATGACTGAAAAAGCCTTTTGTCTTTGATGGCTGCTTGTTGTTTTTATTTCTTGTTAGACAAGTTAATGTAAATCGCATTGACAGGGCTACTCCAAACACACTGATTTGTTGACATTAAGCTTCTCGGAGATGGAGGGTTGTGTCAACACCTACAGTGAACTGTCAGGTTAACAAAGCAAGGATGTTTTCTTGGGGGAGGGGAGCAGGGCTGGGGGAAAAGGGGGGTGTTTTGTTTTTATTTTAGGTTTCCTTTAATCCTCTGTTAGTCTTGTATCTTGATAACCTCCTTTGGAGGTAATCAGGGCAGGTCAAGAGGTGATGCTGACCCGGGAAAGGGAAGCAATCTTTCAGCGATCGAGCAGACTCTAACCTCTGCCGTCTTTGAGCGGTTCAGTGTGAACTCTCTGCAAAAGGGGTTTGGGGTTGTTTTTTGGGGCTTTTTTTTTCTTCCTTTTGTGCTTATTTTTTGCCAGATGGCAGGCAGAGATTTCAGCTGGAGCCACGCGAACGCTGCGGCTGCTCTGCCTGCAACGGTTGTGCCTTATTCACCGTGTTGGCATCTCCTCCCTGCTGCAGATGAATACTCGAGCCCCAGCATCTCTTGCTTTGGTTGAAAGAGCTTTCAACGTGTTTTATTTTTCTTTTAAAGGGAACAATTGCCTATTTTTTTTAATTTAAAAAGCCAAATCCCTCTCTAATATTTTCAAAGGCACTGTGCATGGAAGTAAAATGCCTTGAACTTTGCACCAGTCGCAACCTTGACCATGTTGGGAGGGACCCAAGTGGAAAATAACCATCACAAAGACATTGTATAAGCACCAAAGACACTGTCTTTAGATTTGCACAGGTCCTGTGTGTGTACTTAGATAACATGCCCATGCACTCAGAAGAGCTGAGGAATTTTGCCTTGAGCTGGTCCCTGCTGTTACTCACTAGGGTTTGACATCCATCATCTCCATCTTACAGGTGGGAAAGCTGAGGGACGTGGATGTTGACTTGCAGAACATGTTTAGTGGCAGTAAAACTTGTCCTGTGGTACTTTCATTTCCTCCTCATCCTCTGTCGACTGGGTTCAAAGAGCCCTTATTTTGCTTTACTAATACTCAGCTAACTGTCAAGCAGCTGGTCCTTGGTTAAAGCATTGATGGGTTGGTTGTAGGCACCTCTGGGTGGTGACCAATGTGACTCTCTGCCTTTCTTGCTATTGCTTTGCTCTCTTCTGCATTTGACTTTAAACATCCTGTGTTGTCCTCTGTAGGGGGATGTAGATGTCCACTCTACAATGTCGGTGAGTACAAGACTGCGTGTCGCACGCGTTTGGTCTGCTCTGCTCTGCTCGCACCTCAGATGTGAAGAGGGTGAGTTGAACCAGAAAAGGTCCTTAGTCATGGAAGGGAGGAAAGGAAAAGGCTGAGTAGAAGTTTAAATCAATGGGATAAATAAAAGAGCTGGGAAAAGGGTTCCCTTCCGGAGGGGTCACCTGCAAGCACGCTGTTGCAGTAGCATTGCTAAATTGCTGCTTTTAGAGCACGTGGCATTTAACTGCCTCCTTTTATCCCCCATGCATCTCTAAATGTGTGGGGAATTAGGGGAAATGCATGTTATTAGGGAAAGCTTGATGGGATCTTCAACCTCTGCTTGAAAGAGGAAAGCTCTTCCTAAAGTCCCCCCTCACTCCCTGTATTCTGTTAGACAAATCCCCCATGGGGTTTCAACCTGATGATCCTCCTGGTCTGAGTGCTCCGACCTGGGTCTTGGACTGCTAAGTTCCCTCCAGCTAGAGGGGTAGAATAGTGTTTTATACAGAAAACAGTGTGGGTGCTTGAATGTTCCTATTTGGATTAGGGCAATTAGCACAAAGAAAGTGATGGAGACCTCTCGGACCTGCCTTCTGGTTCAACGAACCCCTCTGGTTGTCATCATTCCTGCTTGTTTCATGTGCGGGAGAAGCAGCAGCAGCATTTCCACAGATAGACTGCAAACAAAGTGCTCTCGAGCTACCTTGTTTCCTCCATTCCCATGTCTGCAAGCCAAGGCACGTGTGAGCAAAGTGTGCCTTGTTTTATGTTGGTGCAGCCCTGCTCGATGCGGTTATGAGATGCGGCCAGCGCGGAGGTGTCGCCTCTACCCCAGCTTCTGCTTTTCCACCTTTAACCCCTGCTCTCCGTTTTAATGCTGAGCTGCCATGGTAGTATTGATATTTCATGCCACGGTTGGATGCTTGTACCCCTTTTCCTGGAAACTGAGCATAGCTAAGCCTTGACTGTTTGCAGGCTTTAAGCACCTGGGGGTTTCTAAGTCAACATCGAGGTCTCAAATCAACGCCAGCTTCTGGAAAGAAAGAGCCTTGTTAAAGCAATTTGAGGCCAGCTTCCATCAAAGCCGTGGCTCGGCTGCTGGCAGGGCTGCGGGAGCTGCCCGCGCTGTTGGGAAGCAGGCTGGGATGCTTTGGGCATCCCCCTGCTTCCGCGGGCTTCCAGGAGCGGTGTTGAATGTCGAGCATCCTACGTGGTGTCCTTAGGGCGTACCCTAAGAGAGACAGATGCAAGAAGTGGTATTGCCTCTGGCTTTTCAACCATTTAGAAGCCAGATGTATTTATTTCTTTAATTGAATCCAGTGCCTAGACAGCTATGGAGTCAGCTTCCTACGGAGAGGGGTGCATTAGTTTCATTAAGGTAAATCAATGAAAAATAATACCTGGAGGTCCCCTGGAAAGGGTCAGGGATGGAGTAATCCCTTTATATGGTGGGACTTTGCTTGCCTGCTCTTAGTTGCTTTTGTTCTTAACTGCAACAGATTCTAGTTTTCCTTTTAACCCTTCTAATTTTCTGTTCTCTAGGTAGCTGGTGTGAATTGGTGGAAATAAATCACTAATCTGTCTAAAAGAGAGTGACGAATAAAAATCTGATTGCACAAAATAGCAAGACAAAGGAGTGATTGTAACAGAATTTAAACTGTCTGGTGGGAAGCAGTTGTGGCTAATCCTGGGAGTTTCTTGGTGTAGATACAGGCACGTAAAATCAAGGCGAGTTGCCTGGGATGCAGAGACGGAGAGGGCATGGGAAGCATCCCAAATCCTCCCTGTATGGTCCTCAGGGAGCTTGTGAGAGATGATGTGAGTCTCATAGGAGGGTTGCACAGAGCAGCTTGTCCTGAAGCTTGGGCAAAATGCTCTTAAAAGAGGTGTTTTGGTGGGGAGAAGATGGGCTGGTGGCTGTGTGGTCCCTTGCTGCGGTCTGTTGGTTGGGCATTGTTTTCCTGGGTCTTCTCAAGTGTCTCCAAAATCCCAGATACTTACCAAAATGAAGGGCTAGAAACAGGAGCTAATGGTTGCTTTAAAACAAGGAGCAAAGCATTCAAATGCAGTGGATTTGGCTTTGTTGGCTGGGGAGAAGGTTGACCTCTGATTAACCCGGGGGCCCTAGTTAACTCGAATCTGGGTAAGCCAGGTTATCTTGTAATTACATGGTTTCTTGTCTGCTTTCAGCACTTTGAAAGTTAATTGAAACTAAAATGCCCAGTCCCATAAATCCTTTAAACCAGGGTGTGCATGCTTCCCTAGGTAGTGCTTCCCTTTGCGTAGTCACGTTGGCATGGTTGGCTTTGATCTTTATTTTACAAACTTAAGATTTATAAAGCTATTTTGTGCTCACTTTTGCATGCACGTGCATACAGACGTGTAGTACAGGGGATTCGGCAGCCAAAAATGCATCCTCTGTGTAAGGAATCCAAATGTGCCTGCTTCCTGCACCTGAGCAGCAGCCTCTACCTTCCAAAAACCCTAACAGAAGTTGAAAGATGAGTTGGTTTGGGGTATTTTTATCCCCTTTAGTTTAATTTAAGTAAAACAATAGACTGCAATTTTATGCTTTCCTGTTCTTTTATCCACTGGTGACCTGAAACCTTGTCAGGTTCTTCTTAAGTTGTGAACATGTGAAGGAACGTTGATGAATGCATCTGCATCCAAAGCCCCCAGCTATCTTCCTATCCATGGGAGTAGACCCACCTGCCCTAGAGGAGCCCACCCTTCATGTGCAATGTCCTTTGGGGTCCCTGTGCAGTGGTCACTTGAATTGAGGTTGCATGGAGAAGGGTTGGGAGTTCATTCTCATCATTCAGAGCTGGGAGCCGCATGAGCGCTGTTGAATGTTGTTGGTGTGGTTGAAGTGGCTCTAATTAAGGGCATGGCGTTGCGTGACCATCGTGGGGGTGCCTCTACAGAGAGATATGTGGATCTTGCAGCCTAAGTTGGATATAATGGCAAGGGAGAGCACCAAAAGCATTTAGAAGTGCAGATCCTCATGGATTTCTTATGATGGCCATGATCTTTCATCATTGTATGAAGGGCAATACATAAGGAGAGCCCAATGGGTTAATTATAACCCAAGGTAACTGTAATTCTATGGCATTGACCATCCGTCTTTTTCTTCTCTCTATTTTTAAACTATATAACAACTAAATATTGAAACCAGTCGTTCAATGTAGGGTTTGGTTTGGGGGAAAATATAAAACAAGCTGCAGTTTTGTATGTAGGTTGTGTTGGTCACTCAGGAATCAGCTCTGCTTGGAAAATAAGAGTATCTCCTGAATCGGGCGTTGGTGGCTCATGAAGTGGAAACGGAGTGGGTGGGTTTTGGTTTTTAGTCTTGTCTTTTGTTTTGAAGTCATCCTTTTCCCAGTCTGTTCAACATCTGGGCCTTAAGTCATGTATGAGTTGCGTTTCCAACTGGCGGCCGTACGTCACAGCAACGTGCCGACCCTTGCCTGAGCATCCCAGCAAGCAGGAATCTGCGTAAACAGGGAATCTGGAGCATCCCTGTGTGTGCAAAGGGTTGAGAAACCCTTGGTGTCAGTGTGTCGGGGCGCCGCTGCTGTGCTCCAAGCCTTGAGATCTTTCCCCTTTTATTTATAACATCCAATTAGAATGATGAAACTATATAGCAAAGATGAAGCAATTCCATTAACTTTCTTTAAGTCTTCCCACTGCCATAGTTGGCAGATGCTCTTCCCTGATAAATCAGCAGAAAGAAGCATGGCTCTAGTACTTCATACGTTAGGGAAGAATATATAAAAGATCTGTATTTAATCAACTTTTTGTTTCCAAAATGGCAGCTGCTTTGTATTTAATGGAAAAATCAGGCTCTTCCCAATGGAAAGAATGTTATTCCCAAAGCGAATATGAAAGAAAATAAAAGCCACAAAAGAGGAGGATGAAATATGTCATTTATATACTTTTTTCTTCTTGTTCATTCTGGTTGTGGAGCCACACGCTCCCATCATGGTCAGGGCATGGCTCTGGTTTGTGTCAAGTAACTTGGAGAGTCCCAGCCCATGGACACAGGGATCAGGAGAGAGCCTCACCCCGTGTTAGGAGGCAGAAATAGGACTGAGAAAAACTGAGGCTACTTCGTGCTTCTTGTGTACACAAAGACTTGTTAGAGCAGGTTATTTATGGATGTAATTCCTTTGCGGGCTGAGATGTTCCACTGTGGAGCACCGTGTTTTTTTCCTTGACACCTCTTCTTGAAGGTCTTGGTGTCTTCTTCAGAGGTGAATGATCTTAGAATGAAATTAGATATAAGGAAGAAATTCTTTACTGTGAGAGTGGTGAGGCACTGGAACAGATTGCCTAAGAACGCTGTGGCTGCCCCATCCCTGGCAGTGTTCAAGGCCAGGTTGGACACAGGGGCTTGGAGCAAGCTGCTCTAGTGGAAGGGGTCCCTGCCCATGGCAGGGGTTGGAGCTGGAGGAGTTTTAAGCTCCCTTCCAACCCAAACCAGCCTGGGACTCTGTTATTCTGTCTTTGTGGAGACCAAAGTAGTGAGCATGGGAGGAGGAGAAGATTGAGGAGCGCCAGTGATGATCAAGGATGATCAGGGGTTTGGAGCATCATTCTTATGAGGAGAGATTGCAGGAGCTGAGCCTAATTAGTCCAGAGAAGAGCGGACTAAAGGGGATCTCATCAATGCAGATCAGAATCTCAAAGGCAGGTGCCAGGTGGATGGTACCAGTCTCTTTTCAGTGGTGCTCAGTGACAGGATGAGGAGCAATGGCCATAAACTAAAACACAAGAAATTTCACCTCATCGTGAGGAACAACCTCTTTACATTGAGGATGGCAGAGCATTAGAACAGGCTGCCCAGAGAGGTTGTCAGTCTCCCTCTTTGGAGACATTCAAAACCAGCCTGGGCATGTTCCTATGTAACCTGCTTTGGGTTGGATTGGATCTCTAGGGGTTCCTTCTAACCTTGATGATTCTGTGATCAAGCCAGGGCTTTGATCAAACA